AGACCAGTGTTTGGCGGAAGATAAATTGACGCAACTTCGATCGCTCCAATAGACGTAGGCAGGGTGATGGCTGAGACCTGCATTGTTGCGTTGCAAATTGGCAGTAAAGGTGTATGCGGTATTGTTGCTCGTATGAGGATTGAGGATCCACCAAAGCAGTTTGCTCCTTCACCATGAGCCTGATAGTGTTCGTATCCGAAAATTTGTGTAGTGGGGCACTCATGAGTTTCTGTTATTAACATTATATCTATGTTTTCTTGTGAGAGAAACGCAGCCAGTTCCTGAGTCTTGTTTCTCAGGCCATTGGCGTTCCAGATACCCACACGTAAAGCCATTATTTGTAGGCAAGCTTGGTTATGATGGCCATTAAACTGTTTAGCATGGTTGCTTGTTGGGATTGTACTTCTCGCATCGCTTTGAGCTCGGCATTAATTGCGTCAAACTGACGTTGTTGTTGCTGAAGCATTTCAGTGAACAAAGTGTCACTTGTGGTATTCTTATTTGACGGTCCACCTCTAGCGGCCTGTGCGTAAGAAACACCACTAATAGGCGTTGCAAAGCTCGTGGCTTGGGTAATGCTCCGGGGCCTTGTAATTTCGGAAGCAGTACTCGGACCCGTAGACGGTGTTTGTGTGGGACTCCTTTTTTGTGCTGGGGATTGCAATTTGCGCAACCGCTTGTATACTTGGCAGCCCTTATAGTTGGCTGGGTGCTGTAACTCACAGTGCACACAAGTTGGTGCCTGGTCCTTTTCGCGGGTGCAGTCTTTGGATGCGTGTTTCCCGGCGCAACGCACACATCTGGGAGCTTTGTGGCAGTAGCGTTGTGTGTGTCCAAATTCTTGACAGCGATGGCATTGTGTCAGGTCGTTGTATCTTCTTGGCAGTTCCACTGTGCAGCGTTGCCTGCAGACAACTCGAATGTCCAAAATTTCTTTGTTGTTGGGGGCCTGAGCCACGTCAACAAAAAATATATTTAGCGGTGTTTTGTCCATACGGCTCAGTGGGTTGTGCACATTTGTAATTGTGTGGCCTTTGGTTTCCAATTCCTTTTTAATTAGTGTTGTATCAGTGCTGGAGTGAAGCCCTTTGAACACGACTCTATATGGTTTGTCCTCCTTAAGCTGGTAGCAGTGGAACTCCAATTCCAGCTTAGTAAAGTGGTCTATAACTCTGCGATAGTCCTCACTGCATTGGGTTAATACACCTATGTTATTCTTCTTTGGCTTAATTACGTATGATTTAGCATCAATTACTTTATCTATTATCTGTTGAAGTAGGGCCACAGACTTGATGTTTGGACACCATATGGGGGGCGGACGAGGTTTCGGAGTAGTTTGCTGGTCGGTCAATACTGGGGCTTCTGGAGCTACAGGTGATTCGCTGTAGTCTTCATCTTCTTCTACGAGCAGTGAAAATCGATTTTCTGATATTAATGCTGCATTGCTGGTGCTTGGTTCGTCGAAGATGAGCCTTTTCTTGATGGTTTTTGGTGAATTTGGCTGTTTACGTTTCGTGTTTTTGTTGTTAGTGATGCCTTGCACGGAGGCGATATCTATTTTTGAGTTTATTGGCATGATGGAGGCTTGCCTATTTGCCATCACAACGTTAAGCTGGGCTTGCATTTCTGCATTTACCTTTACAGCTGTAGCGAGGTTATTGACATTAGATGTCATCGCGGATTGTGCTTTTGAGTGCAGGCGCACTCGCGCCAAGCGACGAAATTTCGTAAATTGCAATTAAAGCAATTGAGTTACGCGGAAGCAAGCGATAAGAAAACGCTGCGTGTGCGGTTTTTGTTGCTGTTGCGTTGAAGAATGCACCGCAAAGTTCTATTTTTAGAACTCTGCAGCAGTAGAGCTTAAGCGAAGGCTGTTCGAATTCACGTCTTTACAGGTCGAACGACTGATCGCGATTGAAACCGGAAGAGTATTTCAAATATTCGATTCTACGAATTGCCAATGAGACGGCGTACAGGTGTGTGTGTGTGTGTATGTGTGTGTCTGCCTCTGTTTGTTTAAGTCTCGCTCCCTGCCTATCTCTCTCTGTCTCTCTCGCTCTGTCGTTCTTGCTTGTACGCCTGATCGCTCTCAAAACTCTCCATAAGTTGTGCGCTCTTTATTGGCACGCCAACGCTTACGCCAACGCTTACGCCAACGCCGGGCCAACATTCCAAGCGGCTAACCTTCAGCCCAGCTTCAAAATTGTCGCAGCTACAACAACAATGACAACGGCAAGAGTTGCAGAATGCTTTCGCTCTCTTTCTTGCTCTATAAGAAAAAACCTGATGAGGCGCAGCAACAACAACAACAATCAAAGCCTGGCCAGTGTTGGACATTACATGACAACAGCGCAAGCTCGCTCGCTTACTCTCTCTCTCTCTCCTCTCCCTCCCCATTTTGTCTACCTATCTCCTCCAATGAAATGAATGGCGGGCCGAGCAGATGGACCGCAAAAGGTAAGCTAGTTGTGAATGTGATTTGCGGGCGGGGCGCGGGCGCAGGCGCAAGCGTGCGCGCGAGCTCGATCGCCAATACCAATTTGGCTGCTAACAACAACAACGGCAGCAGCAGCTAACAGCTAACAGCTCGCAGCTAGCAGCCAGCGAGCAGCAGGTAGATCAGTTGTGAATCTGGCACGGACGGACGACAACAAACCATTTAGCTTGACTCGGAGCAACGCGCAACTCGCAAAAAAAGAAACAAAAAAAAACGAAAAGCAAAAACAAAACAACACAAAAAACGTTTTGCGCGCCTCCTCCAAAAACGTACGTGTGTATTAGTGTATCGATATTTGTGAATACATTCTGTGTCTCTGTGTGTGTGTGTGTTTGTGTGTCGCCGTGTCGCGTTGCCCAGTTGCAACGTTTGTTTTTGTTTTGTGGTTGCGCGCGGCAAAAACAACTAAACACGCCCTGCATATATAGCCTTACACCATGTGCGTGTGCATGTGCATGTGTATCTGTGTGTGTGTGTGCTAGTGCATTGTATATCGCACAGCCGATCGATAGATTGCAAATTAATCGAACGTTTTTGTGCTTTAGTCCCTCCTCGCTAACGAAAATAAAGGGCTTGGGCGGCAGGAGGTCGCGTGCCATGCCCCATTGGAATATTTGCTTCATCTGCAGCGCAACGGCGCGTAGAATGCGACAGTTATATGCGCGCTCAGCCGTTTTATTAGCGATTTTCGCAACATCTGTTTTGGCCAGTCAAACAAAAAAATTAAGAAAAAATTTAGAGTTTCAGCTGCTGTTTATATACTGCATATTTATATGCATATATGTGTATATATATGTACATATATAAATGCATAATTTGTTTGGTATTTGCTTGACCTTGCCTATGCACTCAGGGACTGCCGCCGGGAATGCAGCTGGTAGTGCGTATATATGTACACACACACATACACGCACACATGTATATAAGAATGGCATGCGCTGACATTTTGTTCGCACTCATGCATGTGTATGTATGTATGTATTTACACATGTCAGTCAGACGACTGTCCGTCAATTTCCATATGCATATGCTAATGTACATACATATGTGTGTATGCATGTTAGTATATTTCCATGTATAAGCAATTCTTTTAAGCACACACACACACACACATGTATATAATATAATGTGTGTGTGGGACGTTTCAAACTAAGTCGCGCAAATAACTCGTTCATTTCGTCATTTCCAGCGGCTGTCAATAAATATCTGTTATATTTGTGCACACACACACAGGCACAGTTCGATATGTAAATATGTATTAAGCATCGCCTTGGAAATTTCAGTGTCGTAAAAATCCTCCAAAAATATTTTTTTCCAACTATTTTCGCTGCATGGTGGGCGGTCAATTTTTTGTTTTTGTTTTTTTTTTTCAAGTTTGAGCCAAATACGTATAACTCATTTTGACCAAAAGCGTTTCTTGTTTTCAAATACTTGCGAGTGGGCGCCAAAAAGCAGCGCAGCAATTACACAGAGCTCAGAATGTGAATGCCATTTCGGGGGATTTACATGCATAGTTAAGAGCTTTGACAGCTTTTGGCGACGAGCGGCAGGATCGTTACAAAGCCTCAACAAAAGCAAGAAGAAGAACTAGCAGAAAAATAATCGGTTATTTAGCGCATGCGTTGTCTTAGCGAAGACAACAGCCAAAGCTTTTGGCATGCGCCGCCTGAAAGTAGGCAAGGGAAATAGTGCACGAAAAGTGCAGCCAAATCCAAGTACAGTGAAAGCTGGCTAGATTGAATTAAGTTCTTGTGCTTAGTAAATAGTTGAGAAAACGATTTGGATTTTAATGCTTTTTCAGCTAGTATTTCCTAAAGTGCCGCAAAGTGCAATGGAATATATAATGGAATATATAAAAATAAATATTTAATATAACATTAATAAAAAGAATAATAATAATATTGAAAAAATACGAAAAATTAATCAAATAAAAACATTTTAGTTTTTTTTTTATTTTGAAAAATAGGTGCTTAAAAATATGTAAATAAAAGTTTGGTGCTCCAAGGAAACTTAGAACGGCTCAGGCAGAGGCGCAGACGGAGAGAGAGACAGAGAGCTTTCACTGTACAGGCATAAAACTCTCCGATTCTCTATTTTACTCTCTATCTCTCTCTCACGCACACGAGTGGGCGTTGGAGGTGGCATGGCACTGAGCAAGACGAGCAAAACAAAAGCTGGCGCTAAGGAGGAGCAGAACGAACTGGTAAGTGAAGCAAAAGAGACAAACAAAAACAATAACAAATCCAAGCAAACACACACACACACACAAAGACAGCAATCTCTTTCGCTCTCTCGGCGTGTGTGTTTGTCGAGCTTTGACTTAACAATGAAGGGTGGGAGAGCGGGCGGACGTTTGCTCGCGCGCACTTGGCTCAACGTGCACGCGCGCGCGCTCGATGTGACTCAACGTGCGCGCCTCAACTCGATTCAGTTCAGGTGTAACAAACTAACGGTGCAGCTCGTGCAGCGCCGCAGTCGTCGACGCGCCCTCGTATCGAACACGCCGCGCGCACACTGAATAGTCCTTTTATTTATTTAATTTTTTTTTCTGTTTATTTACATTTTTTGTTTGACGAGCGACTTTGAATCGTGTTTTGTGCATTTTGCATGCGCTTGCGTGCAGTAAAAAAGTTGGTTAAATATCGAAAGAACTATATACAATTGCAAATACGTCTACATATATGTACATATACATATACATTCGATTATTTTACTTGTGACAGTTTTTGCTATTTAGTTTGTTGTTGCCAAAGTCCAAAAAGGGGGCAACGCTGCAGTGTAGACATTTATTGCCCTTTTCACACACACACAAAACGAGGCCACCAGTTTTTTGCAAATCTAATACTTTTCATTTCCCTTAAACCAATTGGTCCAAATCTTATTTCCCTTTGATCTTTCTTATTTCCCTTATCCACATACATAAAAAACGAGACTAGAATTGGTTCTTTTTATTTCCTTTACGCCAATTGGTCCTTTTTCTGCCATTTGCTTGCTTATTTTCACACACACACATACACACATAAGAAGTCCAGTCGCCACTTGTCTGCAAGTGCATTGTTATTTTTTATTCCCCTTAGGCAGCACTTGGTCTTTTTTGGGATATTTTTTGTGGCTTTGCTCTGTGAAATTTGAATACGTTAAGAAGTAAATCTTTTATTTCTAATTGACAGTTTATATTTTTTTAAATTGTTTATTTATTGCTGTAATTGTTTCTCATTTATTTATAGATTTTATTTCGTTTTGCTTGACTTTTTTCTTTCATTTATTTTTTAATTACATGTTTTTGCTGTAACATTAAATGCTGTAATTACTTTTTATTATTTAATATACTTTTTTATCATTTTATTTTTTATACATTATTTTTATTATACAAATTTTACAAAAAAACCTTTTTGTAAAATTTTTTTTTTTAACTTTTGATACTAATTAATTTGATCAAATGGCAACTATGCACACACACAGATACACCGCTACACACATGGATATAGAGACATGCCGCACTCTCCAAACATGACGTTCTCCACACACACACGAACACTCCCCCCACTCTCTGCTGTTCCAGCTTTAAGTGGCGCGCTTTACATGGCAAAGTACGTGCAAAAAATTAATCATTAAAACCGCCGACGTTGCTTTTGTTGTTGTTGTTGGTTGTCGTTAAGTGCAGCGTTTTTCTAGTTGTTTGTGCTGTCGTGACATTTGTTGTCTGTTTGTTTGTTTGCCTTTTTTTGCCTTTGTATTTCTGTTTCTCTCTCCTATTTTTTTGCACTACTTTTGCTTGGGCCTTGCTTCCACGTGTTGCATAAGCGCTGCATTGCGTATACGTAATGTGCGCCCAAACCTCGAAAAGATCCTGCGGCACAGTCGCCGCCAAATGCGGCCCCAAAACCAAAAACCAAAATCGAAAAAAAAAACCAAAAAGCAGCAACAACAAATCACAGCAAAAATATTTTCCCACCATTAAAGCGCACATACACACACACACATGCACACACACACACATACACATGCATACATATACAATATCACGCGCATTATTCGTTCACAAAATGGACAAATGCTTGCAGCAGGAGAGAGAGTGAGAGAGGTAGAGGGGTGTAAGTCTTCGCTTGTGGAAGGGGGCTTAGCATTAGAGGAAGGGAGAGGAGAACTGTGTGCACCCACAAGCAGTCACTATTTGAGTTGTTATACCGCGTGCATTGACTTCAAATGGGCTATATTGCAACTGAGCTATTGTAGGTATTCAACAGGATATAAGTAGGTATATATATATACAGTATACATGATAAATCTTTGAAATACTTATCGATATATATGAAATATATATATGAAATTGTTGCTTTATATAGTTTAAGCTAAGCTCAGCCTATTTGGTATAATTGCGACAGACTACAGGGTAGCAACTAGTCGGGATTTTCTTCTTGTTTTTGCTGCTCGTGAAGCGTTTTGGACAATTTTTTGTTATCTTTGTTGTTGTTGCAGCAACAATGCTTTACTGTTATTTGGGATTCTGTCTGTGCGTCTTGAAATATTGAAGTGTTTTTTTTGTGCTCTTTTTTGTTTTGTTTTGTTGCGCTGACAACAATTCAATGTCTTTGTATGGCGCAAATTAGCTGGCAAAGTGGGCGTGGCACTTTTCATGTATGTGTTTGTGTGGGCATTTTTGTTGACCAGTGCGTGACTCGCACGCTCGCCCCCCCTATCCAAAAAAAATTGAAAATCTTTGCATGGCAAAGGCGTCGCCTTGTTGCAGTTGCAAGTTGCAAGTTGCAACTGTTGCTATTTGCTGCTGTTGTTGCTATTATTGTTGCCGTTTGCTGTTGTTGCTGGTTTTGGGTCAAGTAAAAGGCATTTGCGATTGAATTTGGCTTTTCAATTTTTTTTAGTTTCTGTTTTTCTTTCGGGCAATTGTCATTCGGCTTAAAGCGTAGGGCGTGGCAGCTGCTGACTCATATATGCATATTTAAGTATATATGGATATATACGTATATATATACATATATATGTATGTGTGTGTGTATTAGCAACATTTATTGTCCCATAAGCAGAGCCACAAACCGTAAAAATCAATCAAAAGCAGAGCCAAAGCCAATGCCACAACATTTAGAACTTTGCGTAACGGGCTATGCCCGACTACGCATTACCTCGCAGCGTTTTTTAGATTATAAGTTCATTTGCTTCGATACATAATCAATATAATACCTGTGTATACTTGATAACGTTAGACCTTAATCATTTTAAATTTATATTTTTGGAAACATCAATATACCTCATTTGATTGATACACAGAGTATATGCCAAAGGTTTCCCAATTTGTCCTATCGCTGCCGGCGGAAGTAATTACAAAAATGGCCAAATTGCAAGCACAATTTAATTGTTGTTGTTGTTGTTGTTGTGTCGGTCTGACGTCATGCGCATATTGATGATCAATATTCCAGTGATTTCAACGTGGTTTCCAGGCGCGCGCGCGTCGCAGACCAAATCAAAACGAGCGCTCAGCGCGAATATCAATACAAAAGGCTACAATACAAAAAAACAACAACAACAAATACCAAAAGCTCACAAATTGATTGTTAAAAGCGTATTTATCGATTCAAGAATCGTTTCGCACGCCAAAAGCAACAATAAATAAATTGAAATGAAACGAAAAGAATAAACAAACAACAACAACAATGGCGATCACAAATACTGCGAGAGAGCCAGTGTAGACTTGCAAGTGTAGACTGCTGCACTCAGAAGCAGCAGGTGCTGTGAGAGAGCGCAATGTAAAACAGGCGACAGACAATTGAAGAACAACTTTGTAGAATTGGTCCATGCGACATGGCTTGGTCCGTCAGTATATTCCTATATATATTCCTATATTTATAATTTATATAATATAATAGATAGTTAATATTAAATATTAGTCTTTAATTAAAGCAAAACAGAAAAAAAACTATTAGCTTTACGCAAGGTTTTTCTTGACAATTTTGTTGGCAAGCATTGCAATTGGAGACTTGCGCTCAGAGAGGATGCAAAGCAGGCAAACGACAATATAGCGATAACTTTGTAGAGTTGGTCATTGTTTATGTGGCAAGCTATTGTTTTCTTATTATTCTTTCTTTATTTTTTAATTAAAAACTTTTATGCAATTTTTGTGTATGTCGTAAGGCTCATTGTGATAACTGAGTGCTGATAATTTCATTGGTCAACATTGTGGAGACTTGCGCTCAGCAGCCGTTGCTTTGCAAGCGCAAGAGGGTGGTTGGGTTGGGCAGCATAGAGCAAGCTAAAGGACAGGCAATTGAAATGAAAAAACTTTGTAGACTTGGTCATGGCTTAACCCGTATGTGGCCCTGCTATTTCCTGTTGTTTCTTCAGACATTAATAACTCTGTTAAATTTGAACCGATTGTCATGTTCTAAAGCAATAGTTTCCTTATTTGTACTCTAGAATAATTCTATATTTGAATTTTATTCAAGTCTCTTTATACTTTATATATATATATATATATATATATATATTGTAAAATATTTGAGCTTAATTATTTAACAAACTTTTTTATATTTTTTTATATTATATTATTATATTGTTTGTAATTAAAATAATTTTTTTTTTACTGCTTCCTTTCCTTGCTTAAATATGACTTTTTTTTAAATTATATATGGTATGTCTAAGTCGCTCAATGCCGACTAAAACACTTTCTTTTTATCTCAACTATTTTGTGTGAAATATATCTGGATGAGGAAGCTGTACGTCGCCAACATTATCTGCATTATGCATGCTCTAACTCCACTGTTGGTTACGTACTCAAAAACTGGCGAGAGGCGTTGGGAAATGGGGAGGGGGGGTTGTGTTTGAGTTATACCTTGGGTTAAGGGCCAAAATGAAGTGAACTGACAATTGGCCCCCGCCCCACATTTCGTGTGGGGTCGTTCGTTATAATCAGTGCCAATGGGCCAAATGGGCAGCTGGACAAAGGGCCCCAAAATTTGGCTGTGAATCTTTTTGGCTTTTTTTTAGTGTCTCTTTTCGTATTTTGGCTTTGTCGTCTATGAGCGTGACCTTTGGCCGCATTTGACTTTTTTATTTTGACTCTTTTTTATTGTTTTTTTTTTTAAGTGGATTTATTTCTTGGCTGCTTTCCATTTCACCGCCTTGAACTGTTGCCCTTTTAACAGCGAACTCGAGCAACCTTTTGCGGCTCTTTGAGCTGTTGTGCAATAGACCAACTGACCAAATATCAAGCTAACAAACCATGCCCACTCTGCTAGTCCCTCCTTCAGCAGCTGCTTTGTTTATGGGCTCTTAACTTTATGAGCCGTGCATCTGTGTGTGTTGCAACGGGAAGACCCGTTTTGTTCTAAGCCTTTACGCTTGGCATACTTCAAGTGGCACGCCCCCACTGCCAGCCCACCTAATAGACTGTGCAGCTCTTCAAAGCAAGTTGAGAAAATCATATTTTGATTGAGTGACTTCAGGTGCTATAAAATCAAGGGGTATCTATTAGTTAGACACGTGTGTGCTAGTAGATAAAACTAGCTTTATATGCATATCTCATTTGGGTCTTTAGATCATATCTGATCATCTCTTTGTCTTTATATTTTATTTAGCATCGATTGTTTAAATCGATAGTTTGAATCGATAATTTGTACAGCTAGAGCCTAAGTTATACCTATATATATTATGTTTCCCGATTTTTTCTATGATTCTGCCAGCAGAAACAATCAACAATCAAGCCTACATAACTTATCGATAACTATTAATCGATAAAGCTGATTGCTTTATTGAAATGCGTAAATAATATATTATTTACACAAAAATTGTAAAGAAATGTTGTGAAATGTAAGCACCGTAATATTTCTTTAGTATCGATAACCCACATTGATCGATAAATATCAATGTTAAATATTCTCAATTACGCTATGTTCACTTATTAAATTAATTTACATAAATTAGATCGTTTTTTCATTTGTGCTATCGATTTTTAATCGATGACAAATGATCGATAACTCTGCTAGTTAGCTCCGAATCGATAGATATTGTTGCAAAAACAGGCTGCCCACCTAGCCAATCAATAGCTGCTCGACTCTAGGGTATCTGCCAGTCGAGGCTACTGAGTGGCTCAGCTTGAAGCTCGCCTCGTCCTCATGTCAAAGTCGCCGTCAACAAAATTTCACTTGCAGTACAAATAATTTATACAAAAAACCAAAAACAAAAACAAAACAATCATATACAAATAGAGAATTGAGCAGAGATCGTGGAACGTGGCACGTGGAACGCGGTGCGCGGAACGGGAGGGGATCGTGGATCGTGGATCGCGTGTCGCTGAAATGTTTTGTGCGGCACAACAAATTCAAATTGGTTGCAGCGAAAGTGCGGCAACATTAATTAGACAACAGTTGCAGCAGCGAACGGCCTCGGTGGCGGCGTCGGCGGCGGCAGCAGCAGCAGCAGCAGTAGGCGTGGCAGTTGTTGGTGCTCGCAGCCAGCATCAATGTAGTCAATTGGACACTTTGAACGCTCCCAGATGAACGAATGGTGGTGATCCTTCTACTAGCGCCATGCACATGCAGCCAAAGCAGCAGCAGCAGCATCAGCATCAGCACCACCAACACCAACACCAACACCAACAACACCAACAGCACTCACAGCCACGCCCACCATCAAGAGCAGCCACAGCTAACAGAAGAGCTAAGCTCGAGCTGCAGCAACAGCAGCAGCAGCAAGAGCAATGGCAATCAATCCTCGACCGCATCCACTGGCATTACGGCCATACCAGCGAGCGTTTATCGCACCACCCAGTTGCACCACTGGCCTAGTCATAGTCATAGCCAACAGCCTTCGCCTTCGCCTTCGTCTTTACCTTTGCCTTCGTCCTCGCCCTCGCCCTTTGCTGCTGCTGCTGCCGTTGCTGCTGCAGCTGCAAATGTGGTGCCAAAGCCGCCGCGCAGCTATCTCTATGCCAGCGCACCACTGGTGTTACGCATCTATGCGCAGCCAGCAACGAGCCAACCACTGCCACAGGCTCAGCCACTACAGACATCTGCCAGCTATACTACTAACAATCCTAATAAATCGCACAGGAAGAGAGAGAAGCCGAGCGCTGGTCGCACCACTGGCGGTCGCCATCGCAATCGCACCACCAGCGCCGACTACGTGCGTCACGTGACCCGCGTTAATTTCTACGACGTTGATACTTCGCAGGTCGAATTCGAGCCCAAAGATGATGACGAGAGCAACGAGGCAACTGCCAACAATTGCGATACAGAAGCTATAACCAAAGAAGGTGAGTCGCCCACAACATATATATAAGAGAGTAATATATGTAAGAGAGTATGAGAATAGCAGAAGAGAGAGGGAGAGAGAGAGAGAGGGAGCGAGAAAGGGAAATACTTAGATCAAGGGAAAGATCTAAGCCCTTCAGATAAGCGAGTAGAGATAAGTGTTAGGAGGCGAAGCTTATATTAGAGAATAAGCGAGAATAGAAAAGAGGGAGGGAGAAGAGAAAGAGACAGAGAGAGGGAGAAAGAATAAGAGATAAGATAATGGATAAGAAAAGAGAGCAAAAAAATTATAAGATGAGAAATTATTATGAGAGGGAAAGAGAGAGACGAAGGGAGAGATAGAAAAATATATAGAGAGAGTGAGAGACAATGAGAGAAAGAAAGAGACAGAGAGTGGGAAAGGGAGAGAGGACAGAGAGAGTGAGAAAGTACGAGATTAAGATTAGAACTAGATAGATGATACTGATAAATAAGAGATGGAAAGTGACTGGATGGACTCGGAGAGGCAGAAACGAGTGGAGGCTGGAGATTGGAGAAGAACTTAGCTCAAGTGAGAGAGAGAGAGAGAGAGAGACAGAGCTTGGACAGGATAGAGCAAAGAGTCTAAGCAAAAAGTTAATTTGCTATAGGAAAAAAGGCAAATTGGATAAATGATCTTATCTTACAGTAGATGCCAGTCAGGAATGCCAGAAACAGGTTCTCAAATGTAAATTAGTTTGCTTGCTCTGCAAACTCACTCGTTCAGGCACACTTCATGCTAGAGTCTCCGACTATCTGTCTATCTATATGCTTACTCATTGATCGCTTTGGATCACAATTACGATATGGTAATTAAGTGATCGCATCGACAGACCCTGGCAGTAGTTAAAGCTAATGAGTCGTCATTGAGTGCATTCGACGATTGGCATTGAGTCGTTGCTGTGCCCCTCTTTGTGTGATTCATGTGCATTACGTATACGACTCGATGAACGATTCTGTAGCACAGGGTATTCGCTAGTCGAGCACTTTTAAGTGGAGCACAAGCGGAAGCCAAATGTTTTGCAGCTCTCTCGCTCTCTCTCGCCATGTGAATTGATCCCTTTCGCTATGCATAATTTTTTGATACCTGCCCAACACTTGGCTACCACGCCCCATGCCCGCGCCCCTTCGCTTCTCCCTTATCGCGCTGGTTGCGGAAATCATGGAAAGTTAGATTTAATTATGTGATTAACATGGCACAAAGGCGCCAATGGCGGCTAACGTGTAATATTGTGGAAAAAAGATAGCAAAATAGAAAAACTCGTAGTGTAAAAATTAGAAATAACAAGCTGCTACAAGCAACAATAAACAACAACAACAACAACAACAACAACAACAACAACAGCGACAATGGCAAAATGCTAATGCAAAAGAAAATGTTTCAGGCTGCAAAAATTTCCCACGTTAGCAAATCATTAAAAGTCAACAACAACAGCAACAGCAACAGCTCTTGGGGGGGTCTCTTTGCATATATGCAGAAATTTAATAAGTGCAACTCGCAGCTTGTTGTGCCACAAAGGAAAAGAAAAAAAAAAACAAAACTCTACACAGTCGGAGCTGCGCACAAATCGTAAAGAGAAGTTGTCGCTGCTTTGGTTGCTGCGGAGCAAATCAATTCGTTCATAGCTCAATTAATGCATAACTCTACACAACTCTACAAAAACTTTTTTAACAACTATATAGCTCTACATAGCTATATTAATAAATTCTACATAGCTTGATAACTCTACATAGCTAAACATAATTGAACGAAACTCTACACAACTCTACATTGTGCCATAAATCGACTCAAATTTCTACTATCTATGCACAGCTCTTCTTAACGGGTTCTACATAAATATATACAACTCTACAAATTCTAATAACGCTATATAACTCATAGAACTATAGAGCTTTAATACTCCACAACTCTACATAATTCTCCACAACTCTACATAAATCTACATAGCTATATGTAACTCTACACAAGCCCTTAAAACTACTTCCAGACAATTTTACATGTCTCTTCACAACTCTCCATAAGTCTACACAAAGTCAAAGATTTCGACATTAATCTACATAGCTTTATCTTATTCTATAAAGTTATACATAACTCTACATACGCTGCACAGCTTAACACAATTCTACAAAATTCCTTCATGGCCATAATGAACTCTGCATAAGTCTACGTAAGTAGTTCAAGACAACTTTACATGACTCTACACTGCGCTACATAGCTCCATCTACTTCTACATAACATTACAAAACAGAAAATAACTCTACATATGTCTGCATACAAATCTCTACACAATTGTCAATACTCTGCAAAATCTCTACACAACTTCGCATAACTGTACACAAATGCTGCCAGTGGTTCACTTTAATTTCTACAATAGTTTGGCTAAACCTAACCCTACACATAACCCTGAGATAAGTCCCAATAGCGTGGCACAGAAAGTCTACACAAAAATCTCTACACCACTAAGAAATCTTGCAATTGCTATTGATGACAAATATTGGCCAAAGTTTTTAATAGCAAAATTGGAAGAATGGGATCAGGAAGAGGGGGAGGGGAGTGAGGGGGGGTTGCGTTTTTCTGTGGGGTTGGGCAAGCTCGACGTCGGTTGACAGCAGCTGAGTCGCTCGCTTAGCCACTTAGCGGGGCCATAATTGATACCACAATTAGCTCAATGAGCGGCATGTGCAACAATATCTAATGAAATCTGTAAATGGGGGCGGCCCAGAGGCAGTGGGGCGTGGCAGCATGGCATAAATAACGATTACATGTCATCGATAGATGGGGAGAACGCGTAAAAGGGGCCAGCGGAGGGAGGAAACTGCGCAACTGCGATTGTAGTCGATGAGCGAAACGGCACAGAGAGAGAGAGAGAGAGAGAGATAGAGTGAGAAAGAAAGAGAGAGAGGTAGAGTGAGGGAGAGAAACAATGCATCGAAACATGTTAAAAAAGCATTAGAAGCAGGCAGCTTGACTGTCAGAATACCCTGTAAGTAGAGCTGATTGCGTGATAAATTGGAGTTTGATTGATGATTGAGGAACTTCTGAAACTGATTGATATACAAATTGATGAGCTGTGCTCTGATTCATTTAGTGAGTGATGGAATGATTAATTGACTAATGATGTTTGCGTGACTGATTGACGTTTGGCCTGCTTGATTGACTGACTGACTGATTTAATTTGAGTGACTGCTTGATTGATTGACAATGTTTGACCAATTGATTGGTTGACTGCTGATTGAAATATTGATTGATTGATTGACTGAGTTTTTGATTGCTAATTGGAATACTGATTGACTGATTGATGGACTGGTTAAATGACTGATTGATTGAATTATTGATTGATTGATTGACTGATTGTTTGCCTGATAGATTGACTGAGTGGTTGATTGCTGATTGGATTACTAATTGACTGATTGATTGACTGGTTAAATGATTGATTGATTGTCTGATAGATTGATGGATATTGTTTCGCTTATTGTTTAATTGATTGATTGATTGCCTGATTGATTGACTGATAGATTGACTGAGTGGTTGATTGCTGGTTGGAATATTGATTGACTGATTGATTGACTGATTAAATGACTGATTGATTGTCTGATAGATTGATTGATATTGTTTCACTTATTCACTGATTGATTGATTGATTGACTAATCGATTGTCTGATATATTGACTGCTAATGTTTCACTGATTGGCTAGCTGATTGTCTGATTGATTGACTGACTATGTGATTGATTGAACGTCTGATTGAGGGATTGATTAGCTGATTGACACTGTTTTGACTGACTGATTGATTATGAGAGTAACTGATTGACTGACTAACTTACTAATTGATTGATTGACCGATTGATTGACGGGCTGATTCACTGATTGACTCTTCTCTTGGCCTGTTACATACGCATGATCTGCCCCGCTATACCCAGTTACTCCATTTGTAATGCGCACAGCGATTTGTATACAACATAAATAAAATTAAAGCTTCACCAACCAGCTCCCCAAGCCCCCAGCCATCCTCTCCACCTGCACCACCCACCAAGCGTCTCGTGCTGTTTGTTTGTTTAATTGTTGTTGTTGTTGTTGGTATTTATGAATTGCTTGGCTGACTGTCTGGCAGTTCGCCTAGCTGATGCAATGCGGATATATGCACAAATGATAAAGATAAACGCCCGAGAAGCGGGGGTGGGGTGCTGTCTGATTGTTACGGAGGATCATTTAAATAGCTTCGATCAAACCGAAACCGAAACTGAAACCGAAAACGAAGCCAGCAAAAAAAGGCCAATTGCAAATTTCTGTTGGCCGAATTGGCAGCCTGCAACCTCCGGAGCAGCAAATGCAAAACTTCAATTTCAGCCTCAGCTTTGGAGCGAGATCTCGTTTCGGCGACTGCGACTGCGACTGCAGATAAATTATATAAGCGACCTTTAATGGTCCAGCGATTGCTGCTGCAGCCAGCATCGCCAGGCAGCAGTCAGCATAAGCAGCAGCAACTTGCAGTAACTCAAGTGTCGGACAATGAAAAAACAAGAAGGAAATATTGATTGAAAGTAGACGAATGGGAAATACTCTGTGCTTAAGAGCTACAGAGGGTATATGGAGTTAAGAGAGAGAGAAAGAGGGAGAGAGGAAGCTAGAGTGAGTGAAAGAAAACGATGGAATGTTAGGGAGGGAGTGTGAGAGAGAGATGGACAGAGAGATGAACAGAGAGATGGATAGAGAGAGGAAGAGAGTGAGTGAGAGAGAGGGAGGGAGAGATATAGAGAGAGATAATGAGAGAGATAATGAGAGACATAGAGCAAGACAGAGGTAGAAAACTAAAGAAAGATATAGGGAAAGGTAGAGAAAAGAGAGGCAGAAATAGAGGTAGATATAGGAAGCTATAGAGATAGAGAGAGACAGCGAGTTAAAAGGGAGAATGACAGCGATAGGATGAGATGGAGGTAACCAAATATAGATAATTAATGAGGAGATATATATAGAGAGATAGATAGAGAGTTAGAAAGAGAAAGGGAAAGCGAGAGATCAAGTGAGCATAAAAGTGAGACAAGAAGATAATCGAACAAAGAAAGAGGGAGAGAAAGAGTAAGAGAGCGTATTAAAGGAATGAAAAAGAACAAGAGAGAGAGTGAGAAAGCGGGAGAGCTTTGATCCACACTCAGATATGTTTAGTCAGATACTCCCAGCTATATAGAGGATCTCTGTAGAACTCTATGGATCTCTTTAGGATCTCTATGGATATGGCATGGTTATAAGCTTAGCATAGATCACATTGAAACCGTTATACCTTTCAGTCTTAGGGCAAGTGTTTGTCAGAGAAATAAACAACTCTGCTGCTGCTGCTGCTGCTGCTGCTACTGTTGCTGTTTTTCTTCTTCTTGTTTTTCATTCAGTAAAAATGTGCAGCGAACGCAGCCATCGTCGGATGTCCGTGCTCAAAGCTTTTTTTCTTTAGCTCTAGCACAGGTTGCCACACACACACACACACCAATACACACACACATGCATATGGATAGACACACTCATGGTACAGTTAGTCTAGTCCAAGTTGGACTTGGGTTACGTAATTGGGCGACCAGCTAAGCAAACCAAATGCGGCAGCCACTCAGCGAATCGCTCAAGCGCTTCGCTATATTTTTTTTACTTCTTTTTTTAGCTGCTTCTCTTCTCTCTCTCTCCCCTGCTGCTGCTGCTTCTTCATTGCATTTTATCTTCGCATATGCAAATATGTAAAAGTCGCAAAAGAAACAGAAACAAAATGTTTTTGGCTAGGTGTTGCAATCAGAGAGCTGCCACATGGCAAGTGGCAACATGTTGCACACACACACACAGACATAGAATCGCTCATTCGCTCATAAAGCTATCTTAATTCCATTATTTATTAGCATAGGCAACACTTAAGATAAGAATTTATTGAACGCTCAAGCTGTAGCTCTAATACCAGCTAAAGTCAATTCAGTATATATATCTTATATGTATCTATCTCTATATAGTAAGAACATCTTTAAAAAAACGGAAGCTGCAAAAACTTCCCTTAAGGAAATAACAGATATTAAAGCATATTGCACAGATTATGAAACATAAACAAGTTGTACACTGTTAGAGTGCTTAAAAGCGGTATTTAGCTCACCTAAGCTCATTTATGATCTCAAGTAACTCGGGAACTATAAGCGCTAGAGCAACCAAAATTAGTATGTGGCTTATGCATATCATATACATTAAAAATAAATTAAAAGTCTCAAGAGAATGTCGAATGCAATGCTGAAAAATTTAAATATATTAAATGTAACTGCAACAATTCCTATAAAAAATATCAAGCTTTACAAAATGATTGAAAATATTTTGTAATAATCGGTAAAAGTGTGGAAAAATTTTGAAAATGTGTTTATATCTCGCCTTCGCTGACATATGACCTCAAGTAACTCGGGAGCTATAGCAGCTATAGCTATCAAATTTGATAAGTTTTTTTAATGGCAAATACAGTCTAAATAGTATGAAGTCAACTGGTATTCAAGTGTCTGACTTGAGTTAGGAATGAAGTTAACTTTTATGTTGTTACTAGATTCTAGCTACAGGCTATAGTACTGCTATACAGATATCTATATATATATATATGTATAGAGTATAAAAATAAGTTGTAAAATTCTAGATAAATCTTATGGCTTAAGCTTCATAAAGCAGAGCTTTAAGTACTTAAGCATTATATAAAGATATTTATATAATTTAAGCTTTTATTATACAATTTGAATATCAAAGCTGCACAGTGTGAGAGGGAGACAGCTGCAAAAGCTCGCTCACATGCCAAGCTCTGCTCGGCTCAGCTCACCTACAAGTTTCTTTGAAGTCTGCTTTTCAGCACAAGCTTTAAGCGGGTTTCACTGCAGCGACAAAAAGCTTTGGCTGCCTCAAAGTATGCTAATGAACTAAAGCTTGATCTTTGTGCTTTTGTTTTGCTTCAGAGGAATGGATAACGAAGCGCAAGACGGAGCTAACGACAACGAGACAAATCGAGACGCGTGTGAAGCGACAGGTGAAGCTGCAGGATGGCAAGGTGATAGAGGATTCGGGTCCAATAGTTTCCACAAATACAACGGAGGATACGGACAAGCAGGAAACGGAAACCTCGGAGGTAAGCCCCCTGCCCCCCACCTTTCTCTTTCTCTCTCCGTCTCACTCTCACACTTATGTCTTTCTTGGCATTTTGATTGACAGAAACGTGACTTGGGCCTGCCGGATGATTTGGATGGCAATGCACAGCTGATCGATGCCGCAGCCTTGCAGGCGGGCGCTGCGAATGAAACGCAGCTGGCTCAATTGCAGGAGGCATTCGGCATCGATGGCGGCAAGCTGGTCAAGCGCATGGTGCCGCGTCCTGGCGATGGCTTGGTGCGGCAAGTGGACGATAAACGCGTCATATCGCACGAGGAGATCAAGGACTATCAGGAGACGCAGGATGTCAAGCACATGGGCGACATCACAGACGAGGTGAGCAACAACAATGCACAAAATGCCGAGCAACAGCAGCAGCAGCAGCAGCAGCCGTTGACGCTGTGGTAATCCGAGACGCAACAGCTAAATTGGCATGCAAAATAACTGAAAATCAATTTGGCGTGAAAAAAGCAAAAACCAAAGAAACAAGTCGACAAACAAGCGTGCGGCTGTGGCTCGACAGCGCGATACCCTGTAGTTGGCCGAAAGTCGATTTAGCTAAAAATAAATGAGAAAGTGAAACGAGAAGGAAGAAGTGAAGAGAGGCATACAAGAAGAATGCGATAAAGCATAAGTAGAGCGATAGGAAGCAGTTGAGAATACGACAAAAAGCGATAAATATGATTGTTGAGGAACGAATATACCTATTCGTTATATTCGATAGTTTGTTCGGTGGGAATCAAATAGTCAATGGAAATTTAAAGAGGAGGCATTAAGATGGAGTTACGAAACTAAGCTGACTGAAAATCGATAAAAAAAAAAACGATAAAAACTGATCACTTTGCAATAGAAAAGCAAGAGTGAGATAGGAAAGAGATATGCAACAGACAATAAAAAAAAAACATAAAGAGTAACTCAAGAAATTGATTAAAATCGATAAATATTGTAAGCTGATATATTTGAAAATAAATAAAAAAGGCAAATAAATGTCAAGAAGCTAAGAAAAGTGCAGCAGGCGATAGTAAATAGATGCTTGTAAGGGATGCTGCATCATAAAGCTTTTAGCAAGAGCTGTAAACTTTAGTAGGGCGTGGCTGATGTCATGAAACTGCATCTGTATGAATATATATATATATATATATATATATATATGGTATATATATATATATATTTGAGTTAATTAACAAGCTGAGTTATAGCCATGATATATCCATGTTTGTTCGTTCGTCTATCCGTTTGCTCATATGCCTGTCATATTAACACAAGTAAAGACTAGAAATTTTCTTCGATAACTTCTGTCATTGTTCATTTCATGTTGATAAAAATCGATGAATTTGCTCTTATGGAATTACTTAAAAGCCAAATAAGCTAGGTATACATACCTGATGTCTGAGATGAATAGACGAATAAATACAGATTTTAAATGTGAATAGCTGAGTATGAATATATTGAATATATTTGATATTCGATATTTATTCATTGATTTTTAAGAATGTCGGCTAGTCGCCTACGCCCGATTGTTGCGCTGGCCAACCACTGCATGCAGGGTATACGCAGAGGCAACAACTGCCAATGGGCAGCCGCAACCAGTTGTTGCTGCTTTAAAGCTCATTCGAAAGTAACAAAAAGAGTCGCTGCTGCTGCTGCTGCTGCTGTTGTTAGCTGCCGCAACGAGTCGAACGAGCTGCATCTCACGCTGTCTTCAGTCGCCGCTGAGCGAGCGCCGAGAGCAGACAACAACTCGATCACTCGCGCGATTATTACTTCGACTTCAATCTTGATCTTAAGTTTTTTTGTTAGTTTATCTTTTAGTCTTAAACGGCCTCTCTCTTGCGCTCTCTCCATCTCTCACTCGCTGACACTCGCCTGCTCAACCCTTTGTGGCTGTGTTTTTTTTCATAATTTTTGTTGTTGTTTTTGTTGTTGTATTTGGTGTAATTCTTTCCTACGCACGCCCGCCTGTGATTTTGTTGATACTCACGCCCGTTTAGTATAAAGAAAACAAAAAGAAAACAAAAAACAAAAATAATAGTCTTAGGTTTCGTAGTTAACGAAAGACTAAAGCAACAAGAAATATAAACAAGAGAAAGAGACCAAATTCAAATTCAGATTCAGATTCAGATTCAAACTCGAAGAGAGGAGAGCGAAGAGCAGAGAAGATAAACTGCGGTTGTGTTTTTGTGCGTGGGGCGCTAAACGATTGGCCAACGGCAGCTTAATTAACCCAGGTGCGAATAGGTGTATGTTATGAATATTGTGAATATTACGTGAAACATTTCATAAGTTAACAAAAAACCCGAAACAAATTTAAATAAATCTCCATAAAAGTGCAAAAAAACGAAAGACTTAGGCAACAAACTTGATTACAGCCAGCTGTGTGTGTAAGCACGCGTGTATGTGTGTGCGGTAACAGCCATTGCAACTGCATTTGAAAGTTCTATGTAATCGAGTTCACTAAACTAACCAAAGACTTAGGCAACAAACTTGATTACAGTCTATTTATATAGCTGCATGCAAATCCACACACTCACACGGCCTTAGTGTGTGTGTGTGTGTGAGCTCCTGTGTAGCTCGACTGAAAGGTTCTTTTATATCCATTTCTAAAAGTAAGCCGCAAAAAAGAAGAAAGAGTGCAAAACAGAAGACTTAGGCGACAAACTTGCCCGTGGGCTGCCCGTGTAGACATGTTTGTGCACGTTCATGCGTGTGCGTGACAACAAGCTGCTTCCAGTTCTTGACCACACATTTGAATGTGCTATGTAATCGATTTCATGGGGCGTTGCAAACGAAAGACTTAGGCAACGAACTGGACTAAGTTGTTCTTAATATATATCTATATATATATATATGTATTTGTGGGTGTCTGGTAGTGCTTAGTTGGCAGCTCCTGCAGCTTCATTTGAATGCTCAACGCTACCTAAAATGGGCAAAGAACTTGATCTAAACGAAAGACTCAGACAACGAACATAGCCCAGAGCTATTTATGCATGGCGATTGCTGTTTAATATGTTTGTATATTCTGACTCCATTAAGAATTTTCCCGTGTTCCAAACGTCAACGAAATCTATTTAAAGTAACAAAAGACTTAGGCAACAAACTTGATGTAGAGCTCTTAATATAGCACAGCTATTGCTGTGCGAACTATGGGCCATTTTATGGTTAGCGAAACACAATGTTTGGCATACGCAAAAGACTTAGGCAACGAACTCGATTAGCTGCCATCATTTAAAAGGATGAAATTCGAAATAATTTGTCTCGAACAAATGACTTAGGCAACGAACTTGACTACTTTGCTGAACTCTTTTATATAAAGGCTATATCGATTAGTGCTCCTAATCGCGTGCTGCAAATGAAAGACTATGGCAACAAACTTGATTACAAATCTTCAACTTCTACTGTCTGTTTGTGTGTGTGTAGGGCAACTGCTTTCAACTTCTAATTCAATCAAAATGCTTTGCGAAGCACTACGTGACTTAGTTAAAAATAATATTTATATAAATGGCTTTAAGAAAAATTCAAAATGAAAGACTTAGGCAACGAACTGGCTGACTGGCAGTCATACATTCATATTGTGGCTTTAACAGCTTCTAACTCCATTTAATAGCGCTTGTACGGCTACCCAATAATTGTGCGAAGATCTCAGAGGCAGCCCTCTCTGCAGCAACCACGCCCCCCCGCCGCCTGCTTGCCAGCGCTTGCTGGTGTAAGAGTCGGACTTAGGAGCATGTCTTTAAACCGGTAGTTGGCAATTACCCAGGCAGCCAAAAGGTTGTGTACCACAGCAGATGATTTTGTATGAGGCATACACACACACACACGCACACACAGGCACACACGCAAGCAGCGCTGAAGACCTGTTCTGGAGCCCAGTTTAATCAATAGACGGCGGCTGCTCCTGCTTTGACTTGCCTTGGCTTGGCTTGGCTTGGCTTGCCGTGGCTTGGCTTGGATTCTAGGCGTGTCTGCAGCAGGTCCATGAACCTAACTACACACCAAGGCACACACACACACACACACAGACACACATAAATATATATATAAATAGATTGTTGTGTTTTGTCTATAAAAATATTTGTTGGAATTTCGAATTTGAATTTTTAGTTTGAATTTTTGTTGTTGTGCTGCTTGTTCGCAGCTGCAGCTATGTGTGTGTGTGTGTGTGTGTGTGTGTGGGGTATTTGTAGCCTGTCTAAACTTGTTTTTTTTTTTGTGTTTGTTGTTTGCTTGCGCCCATGTGCCCACATTGACTTGGCGTTGGGCACTCGCACTCTAATCAGCGTATGCCAATCTCTGCCCCGAAAACTTTAGCTGGATGTGTGTTGATTGTTGTTGTTGTTGGTTGGGCTTGAAGTGGTCAAGCGACGAATGCAGCTGCGTTGGCGTTGCTGTCAACTGTTTGGCTCGAAACGCTAACTGAATTACAATAATAATGATAATACAACAACATTGCCCAGCGTCTAGGCTCTGGAGGTTGAACAACCAGCCAAGGCAAACTGGTCTCGCGAATCGAGACGGAGTCGAAGTCGAAATCGAAGTTGGGAGTCGCTGCTTTTAGCCTGGCCAAAAGACTTTGCACAAATCAGCCGCTTGGCTCATTTCTCTTTTTCTTTTTTTGTCTTACTTCAAGCCACTTGGCATGCCACAGCAACCACAATTCATTTGAATAACTGGCAAGCGGGCCAAAGCGTTTCTCGAATTGAAATTATGCCTCGCACACACACACGTGTACACATGTGTGTGTGCTCAATTTTAACTCCACTTTATGCTCCACTCTTAACATTAGCTTTTGGCCAAAAAAAAAACAACGAGCAAGAAAATCAACAACAAAACGGTTTTTTCACATTTTTGGCCAATGACAAAACTCTTGACAATGTCCGCTGGCCCCCAGCCCCTATCTGCCTCGCTGTCTCTCTCTTCTGCGTCATTGGCAGCGTCATCACGACTTTATCTTAGCCATAAGCGTTTATCATGATCTTCATTGGCGCCATAAAAAAAGCCACAAACGAAAAAAAAAATTGTATAAAGTTCAACCAAAACAACCTCCGAAACTCAAACACCGCCTCTGCTCCGCCTGCCCACTAAGCCACCTATTCCCATTGCTAAGTATAAAGCCTGAGATCTCTGGTTGTATGAATACCCTGTAAACGAAAATAAGTCGCATTCAAATGAATACAAATTCATCAATTTTTTCTTTAGATCAAATAAAGTCTTTAAGATATAGAAAAAGTAAAAAAAAAAAAGCTATATAAAGAAGATCTGTGGATAAGACGAGTCAACAATAAGATATTCTTGCTTATATTTGAGCATATTAACCACTTTTCCTCTAAGAGCATACATAAAATGCTTAAAAACAGTTTTTATTCCTGACTTAGCCCAATTATGGTCTCAAGTAACTCGGGAACTATAAGCGCTAGAGCCACAAAATTTGTTATGAGACTTATGCATGTTGCATGCTTTACAAATAAATCGACCGTCTTTAAAGAATTACGAATCCAATGCTGGAAAGCTTAAATATAATAAAAGCTGCTGTAGCAATTCCTATAAAAAAATGTCACAGATTGATAACTTTTTATATATATTTTGGTATAAAAACATCTATTGCTCGGTAAGAGCATGCAGAAACTGTTTTTTTTTTCAAGTCTGCTTTAAGGCATATATGATCTCAAGTAACTCGGGAACTATGCGCACTAGAGTTACGAAATTTTGTATGTAGCTTATGCATATTATATGCATTAAAAATAAATTGAAAGTTTTTAAAGAATTATGAACCCAAGGCTGGAAAGCTTAAATATATTTAAAGTAGCTACAGCAATTCCTATGAAAAATGTTAAAGCTTGAAAACTTGTATTTATTATAATATGCAAGCATCTTCTGCTTAACTCTTAAGACTATTTAGACCATATTTGATCTACAGTAACTCGGCCACTATAGCAGCTAGAGCTGTTTATCTTGAGTTCGTGCTCCATTATGAGTTAAACAGCTATTATAGCGATGCTGCATGAAATGAAGCCTAGCTAGTGTAGGGTATTTAAACGCTTTTACTTTTTAGCAATGTTTTTTTTTGTTGTTTTTGTGCTTTAATGAATTCGTGTCCATCGATCGTTCAATGCGCAGTCAAATTCAGCGCCAGCGGCGGCTGGAGAGGAGCAGCCATGGCGGCTAAGTGTGTAGGGTGAGAGGTGTGAGGGTTGGGGTAGGAGTAGCGATAGCGGTAGGGGGAAGATGAATTTCATGTTATTGTTGTGGCTATAGCTGACATTCAAGTTTTGCAGCTTGAAGCTAAAGTCGAAAATAAAAAAAAGAAACAGCAAAACAAAAAACAAAACACTTTCTACGCGCGTTACCGTTAAACAAGGTCGCCAACAGCAGCAACAGCAACAGCAACAGCAACAACAACATCGTGTTATGTATAACTGAATGTTCCATCAAGTGGTCAAGTGGTTGCTCAGCGTCTCCCTCTCTCTGTCTCTTTCCTTCTCTAGTCTTATCCAGCGATGCGTGCATTTTGCTTGTCATCAACAACAGGGACAAAGCCAACCACGAGCTGACCTTGAGGCAATGCTGTTGGTGTTGCTTCTTCTTCTTCTTCTTCTTCTTCCTCTTCTTCTTCAGTTCAGGTGTCGCATTCTGAACCGTTATTTGCCATTTTGCAAAAGTTGGCTTTGTAATTTGAATTGCGTGCCGCCCACTTGTGAAAACGAAACGAAACGAAATAAATTGTGGTGCAGTGTGGTTTATGTCTTGCTCTGAATACCAAGCCCAGCCGTTCTCTAAGTTACACTATATCCAACTAAGTGTGTGTGTGTGGCAATTGCATCGACTTTAAAGCAAGAAGCATTCGACGCATCGACCATGTCGATGATGCAACCTGATCAACATTCAACACACACACAAACACAGCCAGAACAATTTAATGATAGAAATTTGTGTGGATCCATTGTTTGTCTGTCTGCCTCCGGTTTGTGTTCCATTTGATAACTTTTGCTGTTATGAATCCGGGTTTATATTAGATCTCTACAAGCATTAAAGAAGATCATTTCCCAACTTCCTGCCCAATCGAACTCAATCTCAGCTAAAACTGTGAGAAAGTCGTTTAACTGTGTAAATTTCAATTTCTGCTTTTTGGGGTTATTCAAACTGATCTCAATTTATAGAAATTGGCTGAGCTCTGATTTCTGAGAGTTTGTAGCTTTTGCAACTTGATCTTCCGATCTTACTCAAGTGCACAAAGATTTCTCGATCAGAGATCTTTAGTTGCGATCTTAGTTTGTTGCGCTTAAGCTAAAGTTCTTCAAATCCTTCAAATATCTCAATAGTCGAATAGTTGATCTTCTAACTAAAGACTTACAAGATCTAAAGATTTGAAGATCCTTAACAAGAGCACTTCAACTCGTTTCGTAGATTGATCTTGCTTAAGTCAGCTGTGGGATCTTCAATAGCACTGGCTCTGGCAAAGCTCTTTATGGAATCTTCATTGTCGAACATTTGTTGATCTCCAACAGTTGATCTTCAATTCAGCTTCCATATCGATCTCTATTCAGTTTGCTTACGATCTCCATCTAATGTTCATTTGGCTTTCGGCTCACCTTATCTATCGATAGGTTAGCTGATCCCCTGTGATCTTTAATTGATCTCTATTTGATCTCCATCTGATTTAATCGAGCTACACAAAACTGGATAGTCGCGTGAGTTTTCAGATGCTGTCAAACTTGTTTCCACAAACATGATCTATAGCTCACTTAAGTGTGTATTTCATTTGACATTCTGTTATGGAGCATATCAAATAATTCGCATTAATCCTTTTGTTCACGATCTTTATCTAGCTTTCAGCTTGATATTCGCTTTTAGTGGATTGATTCATTTTAGATTTTATTTGAGTTTTGTTCGAAGCTTCAGCTTCATCGAAGATCATCATCGATTTGCCGTTTAAGTAATTCTTATCTTAACAGATCTTAACATAAATTTCGTTTATTATAACTTTGATCTTGAAGTGTTTTTTTTATAGCTTGCATAGGAATTTAGTCTTTTATAGAACTGAGAGTTGTGTCATATTTATTTGAATTAGAATAAGTCTTGATCTTCATTTGATCAGTTAGTTTTCAAAAGAAATTCATTAGATCTATATTTCATATTCATCTGAAGCTCAGCTGATCTCACTCAATAATTGCTGGATTCTCATCTTATCTGCATCTGATTCTCATCTGATTCGCATTTGATATGCATCTGATTTGCATCTGATCCTCATTTAATTCTCATCTGATCCTCATCTGATCTTCATTTGATATTCATCCGATCTTCACTTCATCCTCTTTTGATCCATATCTGATCTTCACATGATCCTCCTCTTCATCCGATCTTCACTTGATCCTCCTCTTATCATCATCTGATCCTCATCTGATCCTCATCTGATCTTCATCCGATTGTCATCTGATCTTCTTCTGATCCTTCTCTGATCTTCCTCTGATCTTCATTCGATCTTCATCCGATCCTCATCTGAGCTACATCCGTTCTTCACTTTGTCCTCTTATGATCCTTATCTGATCCTCATTTGATCCTTATATGATCCTTGTCAGATCTTCATTCGATGTTCATCTGATTCTCATTTTATTTGCAGTCTGATCATAATTTTATATCTTCCGCATCTGATCGTTATCTGATCTTCACCCGATTCTTATCTGATCTTTATCTTGATTCTCTTCTAATCTTCATCTGATCTTCTCTCGATCTTCATTTAATCTTCAACTGATCCTCATTTTATCTTCATCTGATCTACATTTCATCTTTATCTAGTTTTCATCTGATCTTCATCTATTCTTTACCTGATACGCACACTGAACTTCACTTGATCCTCACCCGATCTTCATCCAATCTTTATCTGAACTTATGATCTCCAATTGATATTCAGCTCTTTCTCATAGAATCTGTTTTTGTGCTTTGCGTAGCTGATTTGTAATTAGTGTTTTCTTTGATTTCCTGTAGACCTACGTGAAGGCCGTTCGTGACGGTGTTGAGGATCTAGAGGCGGTGCTCTGCTCGCCGGAGAGTCAGCAGCAGTTGGTGGCGCTTGGGCCGCAGCTGGTGGCCAATACGAGCAGATCCCGGAAGACAATCGACTCGGAGGATACGCAGAAGCGTTGCCTGGCCCAGGAGGACGGCACACTGGTAACCGAAAGTAAGCGCACCACCGAGCACGAACTAATACTCGACGGCGACGAGGAACCGGATCAGCCAGAGGCTCAGCTGGTGGGCGATGAACGGTTGATCACAACGGCTGCGAATCAGCGGTTCTTCAAGCAGCGCGACGAACAGCATGTGGATCTGATAGCCGACGGCAAACTGGTGGCCACCGAGATGCGCTACGCGGCGGAGACAACGCAAATGGAAAAGGATGGCTCGCTCGAGCGGCCGGGCGACTGGGACAGCCTATCGGATCGCATGCGCAAGCTGCGACGCACACAGCAGCAGCAGCAGCAGAAAGGTGAGTGCCAGCTAGATACCCTGTAAATGAACCTAAGGCAAACTCTGTGGCTTTTACAGAGGTGGCCCTGCTGGCCGATCGCAAAGATGCGCTGACCAAGCGACCGCTCGACTTCGATCGGGAGGAGGAGACGCGCAAGGGCGAGACCATGAAATGGCTCGAATCGCACTTTGGCAGCGAGTCAACAGCGTCGAATGATTCGCGCGACGACGAGGCCAACGAGCTGGATGTGGAGCCCACCAAGAAAAGTTACTTCAACGTGACCATCAAATCGCAAAGCCAGCAGCCAACAGCAGCCGCCGCAGCAGCAGCAGCAGCAGCGGCGGCAGCGGCAGCGGCTGCAGCTGCCAATGCAGTCAACAATCAAACGCTGCCACGAAGTGGAGACAGAGAGCGGGAGCGAGAGCGCGAGCGTGAGCGAGAAAGAGAACGGGAAAGAGAGCGGGAGCGGGAGCGGGAGCGGGAGCGTAGCACACTGGAACGAAAGTATGTAAAGGATGCTGGACGCGGCAAATACTATCAGGGCATCTCGAATTGGTCGGAGCGCAAGGAGGCGCCCACGCTCAATCACTTCTCGACGCAAGCGTTTCGCGAGGATCTGCAGGAGACGATACGCCGCAAGCAGCTGAACGGAACGCCAGACGTGCTGCCGCCCAGCAGCGACAGCTACGTGAGCCGCGAGGATATTTTGCAGCAGAAGCGCCAGAGCTTGTCCTCGCAGTTCTTGGCCAGATCGGCGCGCGGCTCACGCGATGCACTCGACGATCTGGATGCCATACCGGGACCAGGCGCCATGCGCCAGCAGCTAGCGGCAGCCGTGCCAGTCGGCGTTGCAGCTGCAGCCGGCGTTGGTGTCGCCGTTGGCGCCGTGCAGCAAGCGAGCGGCTTGCGCAACGAGGAGCCGTCGCTTAAGCGTGTCGCCTATGGCCAGTTGCATGGCCATGGGCGCAGCAGCAGCAATCCAGTTAGTCAGCTGCCATTGAATGGGCGTGGCAAGAGCGCGACACAGCTTGAGTTTGCCATGAGCAGCAGCAGCAGCAATTTGGGGCGACCCACAGTGCCGCAGCGACGACGTGCCATTGAGAAGAAGATCGTCGAGCATGGCCATGGTCATGCTCATCTCACAGCAGGCAACGGCAACAGCAACAAGAACAACAAGCTGCTGCCAACGAGTGCCCTAACGCAGTTGGAGCCGCCGCCCGACTACTCGCCGCCGCCGCGTAGCCGCAGCCGCAGTCGCAGCTCCTCGCCGCAGGTGGATTACATGATTAATCGGCCGCTCAATCGGCAAATGCCGAATGTCCCAATGGAGCCGACGGTCTCCAGCACGATGACGCTGAACCGCAAGCAGCAGCAGCGCACGCGCTTTGCGCCCAGCTCCAGCTATCCGGCGGCTATCAATGGGCACACCTCGATGTCCACCTCGAACCTGTCCACGCAGACCAGCAGCAGCAGCAAGCCCAGCAAGATGGGCCAGGTCATTGGCAATTCGCTGCGCAAGCTGGTGAGCAAGATACGTTCGGCGAGCGCTGAGCGCAAGTTTCGCATGAAGAGCGCTGCGAGCAAGTCGCGCGAACAGTCGCCCAATCCCAATCAGACGACGGCCCAGCAACTGACCACATATCAGCAATATAATGTCATCGATGGCCATATTGGTGGCAATGGCAACGGCAACGGCAGCGGCAGCGGCAACAACAATGGACAGCTGCGTCACAGCAGCAATGAGTCGGAGAGTTCGCTGCGTCAAGCGAGCAGCTTCAAGCGCGCCGAGTCAGCGGAAACCCAGTCGATGAGTCCGCGCCAGCGCTACTATTTGGGCGAGGATCCCTACTCGAGCACGCTCTATGGCAAGGAGAACATATACGAGCGGCATGCGCATGGACGCGCCGCCGCCAGGCAGCCCAGATACCAAGAGGATGACTACTACGACACGCGAGCAGCAACGGCAGCAACGGCGGCCGCAGCAGCCACAGCGACAACAACCACAACTTTGGGTCGCTATCAGAAGCATGGACAGCGCTTCAGTGGCTCGACGCCGAATCTGCTGCAAATGCAGCCAGACTTTAGGAACGCTCAAACGCTGCCGCGCAAGCTGCACGAGCCAACGAATCCATATCGTGCGCAGCCGCGCTACAATCAGACATTGGAAAAGAAGCCTCAATATATGACGGCAGCAGCAGCTCAGCAGCAGCAGCAGCAGCCGGCGCCGCGACAGCTCAGCCAAGCCATGGAGCAGGGCCCCGCGAAGCCGGCGCGCACCTATGCCAAGGTCTTGAATCGCAGCAAAAGCTTCAATGTGCACGGCATGAATGGCAGCAACGATCCTAGTCCCATTTACATCGAAAAATTGACTCGAAACAATTACAACAGCAACAACAACAGCAATGGCAACGGCAATGGCAACAGCAATGGCAACGGCAATGGCAAGCAGGAGTTGGCGGTGCAAACGCAACTGCAGCTGCAGGCATACAAATCGAATCCGCATCTCTATCAAGCCAAGGACAATTCGCTGAAGAGCGGCCTGAAGAGTCCGTCGATTGTGAATCTGATTAGTCGCAGTCAGAAGGACCTCACCAAAATAGCCAGCAACGACGATGATCTCTATGCCACGGAGGACAACAACAATAAGACGCAGCTCTATCTGCGCAATCTGCATCAGCAGGCGCCCGATCTGTATCGCGTGCTGCATGGCGACGAGACCGACTATGCCACCCGGCACAAGTATCCGCTGCAGCCGAAGTATTCGCTGGACTCGCGGGCGCCGCCAACTGTGGAGCTCAACAAGGATACGGCGAGCATTGTGCGACGCAGCAGCGATGAGCATAAGAGGCAGCTCTATGCCGATGAGCAGCAGCAGCAGCAGCATGCACACATACACACACACGCGCACACACACGCACAGCCACATCACATGCATGCGGCCCACATGCAGCAACAGCAGCAGCAGCAGCTGCGTCGCGGCTCTGGCGCCACCATCATTGAGCTGCGCCAGCGCAAGTAAACTCTATGCCTTGCCCCCTTCTAACCAGCCACACACACAGACCACCCTTACTGCTCTCCCTCCTCTCTCTTTCACTCTCCCCCTCTCTCTCTCTCTCTCTCTTCCTCTGGCTTTTAGTTTCATTTGACTAGCGGCAAATAAATATAAAAGGCCCAAAACAACTTTTTTTTCAGCTTTATTTTTTTTTCTTTCTTTTTTTTTCACTTTATATTTTTGCTGCTAAACATTCATATATATATACATTTTTTTCTATATATATCTTCCATATATTATATATAAATCTTAAATTTAAATGTTTTTTTTTTTTGTTTTTTTTTCTTTACTAATTTTGTTGTATAGTTAAACGTTAAATATATATATTTAATAATAATATTTTGAAGCGAGCCGACTAACTAATTAATTGATTAATTAATTATTTTCACTTACTACTTAATTAACGTACTTAAACAAGTAGCTGAAGAAGAACAAAACATAAAAATTGTAATACTTAATAATAATTAATTAATAATAATTCATTTGCTAAAAATAATAATAATAAAAAATACAGAATTCCAATTACAATTATTATAATAATAAAAATAATAATAATAAAAAACAAGCAAAAAATAAAGTGCCAAAATAAATAATAAAAAAAAAATTCTATAAAGCGAAATTTAAAATAGCACCATGCTGAGCAACTTTTCAGGGAGAGCCGAAATTTATGAAACTTTTCATTATTTTTTCAAGCAAAAGTTCTGCGACTAGCAAATACCCTATGCGCAGCAACTGCAGCCAGGTGAGATTAGCGTTGCCATGACTTCAGTTCTAGCTCTTTGATCATAATGAAGTTCTTGAATCATCATCAACAACTAAGTTGAGTTAATTATAAACAGAAACTCAGCTATTGCCTGAGACTCAAACTGTGTTCCTTACATAAAATCCTAGTCCCATAGATGAGATGGCAAAATAATCAAAAACCGAGCAGTCCTTTAGCTCGATATGATCAGCCTCTGCTTTGACTATGCCTATGCCTTATCTTGGCTCATTCGCGGACCTTGACTTCCTTTGGCCTCAGCACTTAACTTGAGTCATTTAAAGGCTCATCTTTGCACTTTTTGGCGCTTGTATCCCTGTTGTACTTAAGGCTTATCTTACGCGCTGGCATTTATATTGCTTTCAGCTATGCCTGTGTATATTCCCTCTAGTTAAGGCACCAACACGAGAATCCCACAAGGCTTAGTCTTGCAGCACTCTCAACCCCTTCAACTGAACCTTACCTTCGACACGCATGGTCTCCGAGCAATGCTGTGCTGGAAAACTGAGCATTAAAATGAAGCTGTCTGGAATCGGGCATAATTAACAGACTTGCCCTTGAGACTATAGATGCATCTTCAGCTGGCAACACTAGCCAAGCTTTAACCCTTTGGGAATTGCAGAGATGCAGCTGGTGCAAAGAGAGCCTTGAGAAAGCGCTTTAAGCCTTGCAACCATTTTTTTAAATTTAAGCTATAAAAGTCGATAAAAAGCAAACTCTATACTCTATACGAGGTGTGCTCGAAAAGTATATGCTGTCAAAAATAAACCTTGCTTTCTTTTAAGCAGCTCATGAAGGAGCGACGCTACAACGAAGAAGTAGCTGAACAGGCTAAAAAAAAAACATTTTTTTAAGTATCTCGATCTTAAATAATATTTAAATGGAAATAACTTTGAAGGGGACAGGCACAATGAATAATTTGTGAAAAGACAAAATATTCGCCAAACTCTTTGGGCAGACCTCGCACATATGCCTTTTAATATGACAAGTAAAAACTAATATAATCTGATATAATTGACTGCGAAATTTATCAGCTCAAACAAGTTCAACTCAATACAGTCTGAATATATTTCCAGACCAGAATGTAGCCCCTAGACTGAAGTCTGTAATTAGATTCAAGCCATGGTCAATTTGAACGAGATTGCAATGATAACAAGATATTTATAATTATATAAAAATAATAATCCTAATGACTACCTCTACCTGCAGCAGAGTCTATATAAGCTCTAACAGCTATATATAGACCGATTGCTGTGGAAGTTATTCTTACAGTACAAATCGTTCGACTTGCCTCAGTATAAATAAAAATTCATTTGGATACTTCCTTTCCCTGGATGTAGCTCATAGTACGTTGCATAGCGTTGGGTATATATGTATATACCTACAGCATAGCAAAAAAGTGGATTGCGGGGCGTCTTCTAGTCGTTCATTATCAAACGTTTTACTAATCCGAAAATAGGTTATCATTGTAAAGCGAGCAAAAGCTCACGACCTTCTCGATTTGAACCAGTCGCTGCTTACTTAGTTTGTGTTTCGCATTCGATGTGAATAGAAGCTGCAATCTCTGTGCACCATGTGGATCTTGCTTTTATTCTTGCCTGTCCTAGTCGGCGCCTTGGAGTCCAGTTCGCTGCTGCTGGAGCTGGCGCAGTTGGCTGCCAACAATGGGTCCTTAGAGCCAACGCAGTGCGTAGAGCAGCTGCGTGAGCTGCATGCCGCTTGGCAGGCGAACCAGAGTTGGGCTCTGAAAGGTAAGATCTCATCGAATCAGAGAGACCATGAGGAGCTGAACCTATTCAAAGTTGACTCCTTGTAGCTGTGGATGCCTCTGGCAGCGGCTTTCACAATTTCATGCTGGGCAACAGCCTGTGGCTGGGCAATCGCCTCACCTGTCGAGCGCTCAATGAGCCGCTGCTCCAGGACTTTACAAGGGAACACCGCAAGCTGCTGCGAGAGCACGCGCCCTTTGACCACGCCTATAGCGTGGCCTACCTGAGAGCCAACTCCAGCTGGCAGCTGACCACGAGCATGAAGTCGAGGCAGCTGTTGCATGTTGGACTCTGTCTGCCCCACAGCTGCGATCCACAGCAGCTGGAGCAGCTGCTCAGCCAGAGCCTAAAGGCAGCCAGAGCAGAGGGCAGCTGGGAGCAGCGAATGGAGCTGCAGCTGGAGCTGGGCTACACCAAACGCCCAGAGCTAGGCGCTGGCTTCTTTACCCGTCCCGCAGTTCGTTGGCTGCTGTTGCTGCTGGCTGCTAGTCTTCTGCTGCTCTGCCTAGCCAGCAGTGGCTTCTTTCCAGCTAGTCGCATCCTTGGCTGCTTCGATGTGGCTGCCAACTGGAGGCGTCTGTGGCAGCTGCCTTCAGCGGGCGGTCATGAGATCGCGGTTATCAATGGATTACGCGTCTGCAGCGCCTTTGCTCTGCTCGGGTTGCATATCGTTTGGTATCAATTCTTCTCGGTGAATTATTCGGTGAATCTGGCGGAGACACTGGTCACTGTGATCCTGTACATCCCTGTAGCGGGCGCATTGGAATTTTTCTTTGTCATCAGGTAAGATCTCCTTTCAATCAAGTACATCTCTTTATAAGGATTTCAGGAGTCAAGTGAACTATCTGAAAAGCAAATTTTAAGACTATTTTTGCTAGAGATTTTTCAGTAGCTTTTAATGCTAATTCCTGAATCCCTGAGTCGATCTAGCCCTGGGTATAGTCTATCTAACCATGCGTCCACCTGTCCGATTTTCCGTGTAAAATCAAGAGATACTCGCTTTCGAAACTTGATTGATCATTTACTCAGGCTTCTAGCCGTGACCTTAGCCAACTACAGGGTATCTCCGCTCACACTTGTAGACGACAAACACTAAGTAGTTCAATCTCCTCTCGTCAGTGGCTTCCTCACCGTCTCCAACTTTCTGCGTAATCTGCCACTGCAGCGCAGCATTGCAAGGGATACGCTACCCGGCGTTGCGCGGCATTTTGTGAGGCAAGTGGCTCAACGATACTTACGATTGGCTCCGCTGCAATGCATCGTGATTCTGGTCACCGTGGTGAACTTCTACTATCAGCGCGACACATCGGTCTTCCATTTTGTTGAGCCCGTGGATGAGTTGTGCGCGCAGCATTGGTGGCGCAACATCCTGTTCGTACAGAATCTGTATCCGATAAGCGAGATGTGCTGCAATTGGACCTGGTCTCTCGGCTGCGACATGCAACTGTTTATAGGAGCCATGCTGATGCTGTGCCTGCACACCAGGTAAGTTTCATTCAATTAGGTAATACCTTTTTGAAATTCTGTTTTTTAGACATCCACAACTGGTGCGACGTTTGGTTTGGTCGCTTCTCATTGGAAATATGTTATACACTGTCGTAATGTTAATCATGCTGGATGTACCCAATACAGTGGAGGCCATGTACAGCATGGGTGACTGGATATACACGAAACCCTTGGTCCGCATGTTGTCCTATCTCATAGGTGGGATTTATGGATATGCTCATGCCCACAGCCTGGAAGCTCCCTTTTTAGCAGTTTTTTCATCCAAGCTAGCCAAATGTACGATAGCGAGCATCGCTCTGTTGCTAGTGGGCCAGCTGCAGGACTTTGAGCTGGCCAGTCCAGCTGTGGTTGGCATCTCTCTCGTATTTTTCCGCTTCTTAATATCTGCAGCTGCGGCCCATCTCATTTACCGCAGTTTTCGCATGGATGGCAGTAACAGAGTAACGTGTTGGCTGTTGCATTTCCTTGAAGCAACTTGGTTTCAGCGCTTTGGTCGGATTACTTATGCCATATATCTACTCAATCCAACGATCATACTCCACGTTTACTACTCTCTCAGCGAAGGAATTCCTTCGGACTACAGTATTTTGGTAAGTTCAAGCTGTTAGCAATGGTTACTTTTCTTTATATACTTACTTTTTTTGCAGCTATATCTGTTTTTGGCTCATTTTGTTATAATTTCGATACTCTCCATTCCGTTGACTCTGCTCTTCGAGCTACCCTTTAACAGGCTTTCAAATCTATTGCTGGTCTCAAATGGTCTTAAAAATAAAAGTAATTAAAACCAAATATGACATGTGAATTGATCTGACTATAAAATATATGAAGCTTTATGATATATATATTCGCATAAAAATATTTAAATATTATTTGAATTAGGAACCTCTCTTTTGCGTTACGTTGCTCAATGTGCTTTTTATTACTGTTGCGTGTTTGGCTCAATTGTGCGCTTTCTTGCTCTATTTTGCGTTGGTGTTAACTGTTACACCTTTTAATCGATACATCGATATATTCACACATGTTGCATTGAAAGATATAGAATATAGTTGTATGGAGTTAATATTGCCTTTAGATATGGAAGCATTTCTCCGATCTAAGCTATACAGTCAAATTGGTCTAAATAAGCTAACTTTGATATTAAACTTCATAATGTTTAACATGACTTTGTCTTGAGAAATTGGAATTTAGAATTTGTATGCTCTCCTTGAGTTCCAGCACCTCGCATTCCATAAAACATATATGTATATGTATAGTCATAATCTGAACTATCAACTAATTCCATTTTTATTTTATATCTACTGAAGTTGCAGACTCGATACAATTGTGTAATTAAATATATATTATATTAATATGTGTCATGTAGTTATATGTAGGGTATTATGCAATCGCTTGCACCCGATGTTTCTTTATTCATTCTATGGAACTATTCTCTGCTAAGCATAGGGCATTGCTTTATCGTTCACTTCCGACTCTAAACTCTTTATTATATTATAAATAAACTAATTCGATTTTAATAGTCGCGCAAGGTTTTAGGTGTAGTGATTAAACTGCACTAGACTCTAGTCCGATTTTGATTGGGTCCAAAATGCCGGTTCTAAGTTTAAAGCGGCCAAAACCGCATGACCCTCTCAGCTATATCTCGATCTGAACTAGTCGCTGCTTAGTCTGTGTTCCGTATTCGATGCGAATAGAAGCTGCAATCTCTGTGCACCATGTGGATCTCGCTTTTATTCTTGCCTATCCTTGTCGGCGCCTTGGAGTCCAGTTCGCTGCTGCTGGAGCTGGCGCAGTTGGCTGCCAGCAATGAGTCCTTAGAGCCAACGCAGTGCGTAGAGCAGCTGCGTGAGCTGCATGCCGCTTGGCAGGCGAACCAGAGTTGGGCTCTGAAAGGTAAGATCTCATCGAATCAGAGAGACCATGAGGAGCTGAACCTATTCAAAGTTGACTCCTTGTAGCTGTGGATGCCTCTGGCAGCGGCTTTCACAATTTCATGCTGGGCAACAGCCTGTGGCTGGGCAATCGCCTCACCTGTCGAGCGCTCAATGAGCCGCTGCTCCAGGACTTTACAAGGGAACACCGCAAGCTGCTGCGAGAGCACGCGCCCTTTGACCACGCCTACAGCGTAGCCTACCTGAGAGCCAACTCCAGCTGGCAGCTGACCACGAGCATGAAGTCGAGGCAGCTGTTGCATGTTGGACTCTGTCTGCCCCACAGCTGCGATCCACAGCAGCTGGAGCAGCTGCTCAGCCAGAGCCTAAAGGCAGCCAGAGCAGAGGGCAGCTGGGAGCAGCGAATGGAGCTGCAGCTGGAGCTGGTCTACACCAAACGCCCAGAGCTAGGCGCTGGCTTCTTTGCCCGTCCCGCAGTTCGCTGGCTGCTGTTGCTGCTGGCTGCTAGTCTTCTGCTGCTCTGCCTAGCCAGCAGTGGCTTCTTTCCAGCTAGTCGTATCCTTGGCTGCTTCGATGTGGCTGCCAACTGGAGGCGTCTGTGGCAGCTGCCTTCAGCGGGCAGTCAGGAGATCGCGGTTATCAATGGATTACGCGTCTGCAGCGCCTTTGCTCTGCTCGGCTTCCATGTCGTTTGGTATCAATTCTTCTCGGCGACTCACTCGGCAGATCTGGCGAACAAATTGATAAAACTTACGATTCAAATTCCTGTGGCGTTCGTGTTGGAGGTATTCTTTGTCATCAGGTAAGAAATCATATTAGATATCCTGTTGAGTCTGTTGCTGGATTTGTATGAGATGTCTGTCTCTCTCTCTATCTCTCTCTTTCCCTCTTTCTATCCTACGCTTGCTCTCTTTTCTCTTTCTACTTGTCCGTATCTATATCTTAATTTGTCCGTCTGTCCATTTTCCGCCCGAAGATACGAAGGTATTCTTTAGCTAATCCAAAGTCAACCACAAGGAATCTCAAAACACAAGACATACACTAAGTAGTTCATTCTCCTCTTGTCAGTGGCTTCCTCACCGTCTCCAACTTTCTGCGTAATCTGCCACTGCAGCGCAGCATTGCAAGGGATACGCTACCCGGCGTTGCGCGGCATTTTGTGAGGCAAGTGGCTCAACGATACTTACGATTGGCTCCGCTGCAATGCATCGTGATTCTGGTCACCGTGGTGAACTTCTACTATCATCGCGAAGCATCGGTTCTCCATTTTGTTGAGCCCGTGGATGAGTTGTGCGCGCAGCATTGGTGGCGCAACATCCTGTTCGTGCAGAATCTGTATCCGGTAAGCGAGATGTGCTGCAATTGGACCTGGTCTCTCGGCTGCGACATGCAACTGTACATAGGAGCCATGTTGATGCTGTACATGCATACCAGGTAGGATCCGTGTCTTCATATCATATATAATACCTTTATGGACGTCTGCAACAATCTCTTTAGATACCCACAGCTGGTGCGCCGTTTGGTTTGGTTGCTTCTCATTGGGAATATGTTATACTCTGTCTTACTGTTCATCCTGCTGGATGTACCCAATACAGTGGAGGCAATATACAGCATAGGCGATTGGGTCTACACGAAACCCTTGGTCCGCATGTTGTCCTATCTCATAGGTGGGATTTATGGATATGCTCATGCCCAACGCCTGGAAGCTCCCTTTGGAGCACTTTTTTCATCCAAGCTAGCCAAATGTACGATAGCGAGCATCGCTCTGTTGCTAGTGGGCCAGCTGCAGGACTTTGAGCTGGCCAGTCCAGCTGTGGTTGGCATTTTTCTCGTGTTTTTCCGCTTCTTAATATCTGCAGCTGCGGCTCATCTGATTTATCGCAGTTTTCGCATGGATGCCAGTAGCAGAATAACTCGTTGGTTGGTGCATTTCTTGGAGTCGAATCGTTTTCAATATCTAAATCGGATTACCTATGCCATTTATCTACTCAATCCTACGGTCATACTCCACGTTTACTATTCTTTAAACGAAGGAATTCCTTCAGACGTTAGCATTTTGGTAAGTTTAAACTGTTGGCAAAAGTGTATTTTCTCTATTAATTTTCTTTGGTTGCAGTTTTGTCTGTTTGTGGCACTTTTGGTTATAGTTTCGTTGCTTTCCATTCCGTTGACTCTACTCTTCGAGCTACCCTTTAACAGGCTTGCAAGCTTATTGTTAGTCTCAAGTGATCATAAGATTAAAAATAATTAAAACCAAACATGTATTGATATCTTTAGTAACATAATCATTATTCTTAAAAATGTATTTAAATAAAAAACCGTTTTAATGCGTAATACTTAACGTCACGTAACGTAACGGCTACTCGCTTTTGCGTTAATGTTACTCATACTACGGAAGATTAAGTTTTACGCTCACATAGCTCTATTTTGCGTCTGCACAGCTGTTGCGCATTTTAATCGATAGATAGATGTATTCACACAAGTCGCTGCATCGATATGATAATTCGATTATTTCATCATACCAATAGCAAATAAATAAAATGTAAGATTTACATAGATTAGTTAAAATTTCTTCGTATACAAAACCAGGCTGTTTACAACGCCAAGATGACTTCGCGCAATCTAACCGAGGTGTTTGTTATCATGCGCAACAATGCCAGCAAGAATCGCAATCATTATGACGAACGGGTAAATGCCAAACTAATGTATCGTCCATATGGATGAAATGATTCAAAGGAGTGAATCTAATATTACAATTTAACAGCGTGGCAGCGACTCCGAGCGCTTGCTGAAACATTCCGTACGCGAGGCTGAAGAGGGACTCGAAATGCAAGATGATTATGGCACCCCACCCATTTGGCTAGATAAGTTCGAGGAGGCGCAATACACGATGTCCAAGTGAGATTGCAATGATTACTCAAAAGCGTCAATTATTATTTTCCTAGTTATTAATTATGTATATATGCCATTGTAGAATCAAGCCGAAACTGGATGAGCTGGGCTCCCTGCATGCACGCCACCTGCTGCGCCCCACATTTGATGACCAAAAAGATGATGAATGTGAAATCGAAGTGCTTAGCCAGATTGTGGCCAAGCTGATAGCAAGTACCCATCGGCACATACAATGCGTTCGCTCCAGCCTGGGCGTCGGCAGCAAAGTGGAGCAGCGTCTCACAGCCAATGCGGTGCACTGTGCGCTACTCCAGCTACAGGATCTGACAGTCAAATTTCGCAGCAGCCAAAATGCGTATCTGCTGCAGCTCAACTCTCGCGAGGAACGCTCCCAGAAATATTTTGACAATACCAATGAATTCACCAATGTCGAACTGGGCAACTTTGGTGGCGATGAGCCGCCCAACAACTTTGTAGATACCTTTGACAATTTTCTGCAGCCCCTGGATGGTGCTGGCAAGAGCCAGACGAATGCATATCTCTTCGAGGATGACGACCAACAGATCGATGATAATTTCAAAAAGCCATTAGCCAATCGCATGACACAGCAGCAATTGCTGCTCTTCGAAGAGGAGAACTCACGTTTGGCCCAGCATCGAGAAGAGGAGGTGACGAAAATAGTCAAATCCATTTACGATCTCAACGATATCTTCAAGGACTTGGGTCACATGGTGCAGGAGCAGGGCACAGTACTCGATCGCATCGATTACAATGTGGAGCAGACACAGACGCGGGTTTCCGAAGGAATGCGACAGCTCCAGCGTGCGGAAATGTATCAGCGCAAGAATCGCAAAATGTGCATCATCCTCGTTTTAGCCGCCGTTACCTTCGTCATGCTCCTGCTGCTCATTCTAACCAAGCTGTAAAAGATTTGACCGACCCCGCCAGCCAGCAGCCTATTCCGTTTCATTTTCGTTGTTTTTCTTTGTAAGTGCAGTTCCGTGTGAATAATTGTAATTGTATTTGTGTAAAATATATATAAATTCTATTATTATTTATTTATTAATAATCTAAATGCTTTATCTTGTCTCTGTGCCACATTGTAGGTCTTCTGCTTACATAGTTCCCGACACTTATGATGCTCATGAAAGTTCCTTTTATTTATAGTGATGTTTAACATTTGCTTATCGCCTTTCTGTGCGATTCTCATGAATTCGAGTAGAGATAACGCGACTCAAGAAGACTCAAGAAGAATTTGCGAATGATTGGACTTACTCAAAAGCTGGAGTTGACCATCTACAATTATTGAATAGCTAATTTGTTCACGGTTCAGTTGAACCGGTTCACAGGCAGAAAGGTACAAATATATAAAAATTGGTCCAATTTACCATGCATTATATATGTGTACATATTTACAATGAAAGATGACAGAGATAGATTGCTTTATACAAAACTGTCTTCTATGCGAGGCTCACAAGTTCAAGGGAAAGAAAAGTGGAGAGGCATGTGTGAGCGGAAAGTGTTAAATAAAGTAGCATATACATAAATATATTGTAAAACATATAAAGAAAATCATATATTATACATTATTATTTATTTACGATAAAAGAAAAAAATTAAGAAAAATATCTTATTTCTAATTGTAGTCTAGGTCCATCCTAGGCCCTCCCAGTGTGGCCCTATGATCACAGCCTTTACATGCGTTCCGAGAGGCGAGACGCAACGGCTCGCAGATTGCCATAAACTTTGCTTGGCGGCGAGCCAAGGATCAGGTTGCAAATGGCGCGGCGTGCCAGCTGAATATTCTGATAGCTTCCCAGTATATGGATCTTGCTATCAGCGAGCACAATTCGAGTTTTGGTCACATTCTCGATGGTGAATTTCGTGCGTCCACCCTTGCCAGCGAGGCGGCCAATGGCACGGGATTGATGATCGCCGCGCAGCGTCTTCACATCCTTGATCTCAAACGTCTCTATGAAGAGATCCTCCAAACGGAGCAGTGCCAAAGCATCGTCCACCTCAAAGCCGCACAGGAATGCTTTGACAAAGTCAGCACCTCTTTGCAAATTCGATATATCTGGAGTTTCGGGTCCAATGCGCAGCTCCACTTGACGTGCCTTCATGTTGAAGCGGATTTGCAGTTTCATATGCTCCACTACCGGCGTGAAGATTTTCATCCATTGTTCTTTGAGTGAGCTGTATCTGTGTGGTGGCACGGATACCTTGCGCAGCTCGCTACGTATCCTTTTGGCCTTTGGTGGCGCCTGCCCATGGCTTGAACGTTCCTTGGCTTCGATGCCTGTTGCAGCGTCCACCTGCATTTCCTCATCTTGATTACTTGCATTAGCGCTGCGCTTTTGTGCCTTCTTAGCGGGCATAAAGGCATCCACTTCAATATTTTCCAGCTCCATGCTTACGTATTTTCTATTCAGGGATATATTTTATTTTTCAATTGCGTCTGCTTTATTTTCGTTTAACATTTGTTCTCCACGTGCGGTGTCAAATATGCATTTCAATTGTTATCGACAAGTTGGCAGTCTGGTTGCGTGTTGCAGCTGTTAGCTTCAGAGTGTCAACCGATAGCCGATATGGCTTGCAGCTATCGTAACATTTCACTTGGCGCCAACGTAACGGGCTTTGTGTACTATCGTTTTACTTTAAGCGCGCGCAACCATCGATACGTTATATTTGTAACGGACATTTTGTTTGCAAGCATTTTTTTTTAGCTATTATGCTGTTAGCGCAAATAACTGTAAAAGTACAAAGACAAACTTGGGGCGAAGTTGTCTTGTTTATTTGTAATTTAAGTAATGTGCTTTGCACAAGCCTTTTGCAATGTTTAATTTTCAGCCAGCAAATTGCAGTCCTGATAAATAGTTGCTCTTCTTGTTGTTGTTATTGTTGTTGCTTGTCTATTTTGACACCCCGAAAATGGACGTTGCTGATGTTATCAGGTATACTTATTGTGCATGTTGTGCACATAAACGGACCCAGGCTCTGGACGTTGTATCCAAAAATGCAAATGATAATGATGTCCCAGCGAGCAGCTGCCAGATGAGCTTCTCTCCTTCTGCTGTTCCGTAGGCCTCTCGGCTGTTGTGCCTGTCTAATCCATGTTCGGACATTTTAAATACAAATTGCAGCGCTGTTGCGTCTCCCGGCATCAAATTGCTTGCAACCTGAACACACACGCTCATCTAGGCAGCATAGCATCCGGTCGAATAGCAGTTCCAGGTGTAGGTCCGTGTCCAGGTACCGTTACCTAGTTAGCTGTTGCAGCATCTCTTTTTACTCTATTGGCAACTGATTAGCATTTAAATTAAAATGTCGCAAAGTGGCCTTAACAAAATGTTGCTTATCGCGCGCTTGTGTGTGTCTGCGCTGCATTTGGATACCCTTTCAATTCTTGATGCATAAAAGTGCCCATTCAGGCATAACACATAAGACATATTTGTGAAAACAAAGTAAATGAAATAACCTTTCAATAATAATTCCTAAATATTTTGATTTATTGAATGCCATAAATTCTATACGAAGAAATTGCCATTAAGATAAACCCATTCACACCATGCATTTAAAGCCATAAATTCTATAGCTAAGAAAATGTACTAAGAGAACTAAACAATAAGAAAAACGTAACTTATTCTGTGAAATCGTTACATACTTAAGCTGCTAATGGAAATTATTCAGCTGACACATTATTGGAGCTGGCAGTGATCGCGATGACAAACTACAGGGTAGTTAGCAAAACTATCGCCAGCATAAGTAGGAGAGGGTACATGCCTTCTTTGTTTTTTCAGTGATAGCAAATTATCGATAGTTGGCAGAATTATCGCAATTGCGAAGCATTGTGTAATTAAAGCTTCTCTTGGCACTTAGAATGCAGAGCATTTGTGAGTTGCATACGGCGTTTCCTTGTTAACTATTTTCAACTCGACATATGTACATATATGTATGTCGTCCTGTGTGTGTGTTTTTATTGTAGCTTATTGTCTCTGATGTCACCTGTTTATGCCGCTGCCGTTGCCGTTGCCGCTGTCACTGTCGCTGAGATTGGCACTCGCTTCGGCAATTGCTTTTGTGCCGGGCCACTGCAAATTGGAGCCAGCAAGTAGCAAGCAGCAGGCAGCAGCATCAGCAGCCAGAGCTGCGGATGCGGATGTGGATGCGAAAGTTCGATGCGGATATTGTACTGACTGCTGTTGCGCCCACTTCAAAGAGCGATGCGGGCGGGCTTAATTATGAAAATTAATTGTATTCGAATGAATAACGTTAATTGATTTCCCTCCCGCTCACTCTCTCCTTGTCGCGCTCTGTCGCACCTGTATCGACCTATAACAGTTCGGCGCCTCCCTCTGTCTTTATCACATTAATTAATTAGTCCATTTTATATTGTCGAGAGTGAAAACAACGCGAAATCAAATACTCGAACAATTTCACCCGCTTTTCGAGCTTCGCGTTTCGCTTTTTGTTCGCCATTTGCAATTGCCGTTAGTTAAACGATTCAGTCACGTAATTCATTTGCATGGCGCGCGTGGTCAGGATGCGATATCCTTCATCGCGGTCCTACCCATCGAGGAAGCTACAAATTGAAGGGTAGAGTACAAGGCGGAGAGACAGTCAGAGGGAGGATAAGGGAGAGGGAGAGAGTGAGAGAGAGGGGGAATGCCAGTTTCTGATTACAGTGTTGTCTCTATTGAATTTATAAGGTGTTTAGGGGGAGTTGTAGGAGAGAGAGAGAGAGAGAGAGAGAGAGAGGGAATAGAGTGGAGAGTAGAGAGTAGAGAGTAGAGAGTAGAGAGTAGAGAGTAGAGAGTAGAGAGTAGAGAGTAGAGAGTAGAGAGTAGAGAGTAGAGAGTAGAGAGTAGAGTGTAGAGAGTAGAGAGTAGAGAGTAGAGAGTAGAGAGTAGAGAGTAGAGAGTAGAGAGTAGAGAGTAGAGAGTAGAGAGTAGAGAGTAGAGAGTAGAGAGTAGAGAGTAGAGAGTAGAGAGTAGAGAGTAGAGAGTAGAGAGTAGAGAGTAGAGAGTAGAGAGTAGAGAGTAGAGAGTAGAGAGTAGAGAGTAGAGAGTAGAGAGTAGAGAGTAGAGAGTAGAGAGTAGAGAGTAGAGAGTAGAGAGTAGAGAGTAGAGAGTAGAGAGTAGAGAGTAGAGAGTAGAGAGTAGAGAGTAGAGAGTAGAGAGTAGAGAGTAGAGAGTAGAGAGTAGAGAGTAGAGAGTAGAGAGTAGAGAGTAGAGAGTAGAGAGTAGAGAGTAGAGAGTAGAGAGTAGAGAGTAGAGAGTAGAGAGTAGAGTGTAGAGAGTAGAGAGTAGAGAGTAGAGAGTAGAGAGTAGAGAGTAGAGAGTAGAGAGTAGAGAGTAGAGAGTAGAGAGTAGAGAGTAGAGAGTAGAGAGTAGAGAGTAGAGAGTAGAGAGTAGAGAGTAGAGAGTAGAGAGTAGAGAGTAGAGACTGGAGACTGGAGATAGACAAAAGAGTAGAGAGCAGAGATCAGAGGGTAAAGAGTAAATAGTACAAACATTTAAAGACTTCATCAACATTTTATTTTCTTGCACCTTAACCGAAAGGGGCTGTCCGTGAGTCAATTCACATATGACATTGACTTCGTTGTCTTCGAGAAGAAAAGGAAAAAAAAACTGTTTAACCAAATTGATGCGTGAAAGTTTGTTCGAACAATTTGTTGGCTATTTTTTATGCGGCATTTGGTCATTTTTCATGGTCAGTAATTGGCTAGGACTATGACGTTGTCTCCAGCACCAGCCCCAGCACCAGCGCCAGAGTCAGCCTCAGTTTCAGCTCTGTTTATCCTGCTACGGCCACATCCTAACTGAATGTCCTGCATTGTCCCCTTGGGCTGATGACAGAACGCGACTCGCTCTTCTCCTCGCACGCAGGCCTTCATCTTGACTTCAGCCACTGGGGCTATGCATATATATGCGCTGTTTATGTGTGTGTGTGTGAGGGGGGGGGGGGTGTATGTGTGTGTCATCTATGCTCACGTATCAATAAGTGCTTGAGACGTGAACTGAATTTTTTATTACCGTTTGTCGATGTATGCGCAAAAGTGAATGCCGCCCGCAGGACGAAGGACGAAAGGCTCGCAGGACATTCAGAATATGTCTCGCAGCATGCGAAATTGCCTGTGAAATATTTTCCAAATTTACTATATAAGTATGCACACACATACACTTAAAGAAAGCATACAAAAAGTTGCAAGCTTGAAGTGGTAGAAGGAATACCCTGTATAAAACGCTGTGATGGGGTACGCTCTTTTGTTGAGTGAACAGATAGGAAGACAATACGAAAAATATGGTGTAGACAAGATGTAGATATTTTGGGCTCAGCGTTAGGCTTGCATTCAGGGCTTCGCAAGTGACTGGCAACAGCGTATACCCTGTAAAAATAACAATAGTAAGCATCTATATACATACATTGAGAAATGGAAATGACTAGAACCGTTCGATTTTTTTCAGTGTACATTGGCATATGCTGGCTGTAGATGCAGCTACGCATAGTTGACTGAAATCGAAGCTTTAGAGCGCTGGGCGTTAGCCGTAAAAGGCGTGGCAGGCAGCTGAACAATTGGCCGAAAAGATTAAATCAAATCAAGGGTCTAAGCAGCCCAAAAGTGAAGCACATTGAACTAAGCCGGGACTACGTAGCTACACTTTAGGGCGGCTGCTTTGCGGATCAGGGGGAGCCAAACTAAAAGGTCGAAGGGCCAAATGCGAATTCAGTTTAATTGTATGTGGGGATTAGCTTTGAAGTTTTGGCGGCACAAAACCGACTCAGCATGGAATAACACGACACTTAAGTGCGTCATAAGGAGCAAAGGAGCGAAGGAGCAAAGAAGCGACAAGAGCCTCAATGCGAATGGCTTTCAGGTAATTTCTCTTTGGGGTTAAGTGGGCCAAAGGGCTGCTTAAGTCGCCCGAGCGTTAATTACTGCCAAAGACAGAGCCGAGCTGAGTCCCCATTAACCCACCGCGCGCACTCAACGACCCCTCGCCGGCCCGGCCTCTGCGCCCAGCAACCCTCGACGGGGTGATAAACGGCTTGGTTTGGTCCTGAATCTGTGCAGCTGCCTCGAGCTGTTCGCAATTGATTTATAAATCAATAAAAATATGTGCATAAATATTTACCGAGACAATATAAATAAATTACAATCCAATGTGAGCAGTCGGCTGAAAAACCTTATGCAAAATGCAGCCGGACAGTCCAGAAGGACCAAAGGCTTCGACTGCACACAGCGCAGAGCAAAACCAACAGACGATGCCATAGTTGAGTGGGTGACAGAGAAGAGACGGAGAGGGAGTGTGTGGGTGTGCGCGCACGTGTGTGTGTGTGTGTGTGTGTGTGTAATGCTATCTGAAGACGTAGTCAGACAATGCCGGAGGCTTATGAACAACTGCATAGATGTCCGTTGCTCTTCTGGTCCCTATTAACTGACAGTTGTCGGCAGTGGCCCAGCAGTTACTAGGCTTAGACAGGCGAGGGCTGCCATAAGACTAAGCGAAAACAACCTAT